ACTTCTTAATACTTGAACATCACAACAGACATTTTAAGACATGTAGGGGATAATTTAAAGGAAAAAAAATCTAAAGCAGCTCTATCAGGCTGAAAGCAGCACAAACAGATCAGGTTTGAGAAATAAAAGCCAAGCATTTTGCTGCTTATTTAACTCTGCCCCCTTTGATAAGGTGTTCCCTCAGGCTACTTGTACAACAGCACTGAACAGGAAAAAGAAGGAATTTGAAACATCTGAACTGGCAGCTCAATATGTAACTCAGTATGACAACTCTGAAATCTGAGGGCTCTCTAGAGTTGTCACCTTTTACATTCGAGTCTTTCATAGGCTTACTGAACGTGGTAGGCCGATCAAATCTAACGAATAAGAGAGCCTGAGCTTTAGTCATTTCGAGCCAGAAGCTGTGCTTGCACAGCACTGCCAAACTGAATGGGGAGCCTGGCCCAGTACTTCTTCAGTAGCAAACACCTGATTTACTGTGCATGCCTGCTGAGGGTGATTTATTCTGCATGTTACGCATACTGAACGCTTCGTTATCTTTATTGTGTTCAAGTTTTTAAGAGTTGCATTGATAGATGTATCCTTAGCTGTATCTATGACTCCTTCTCTAGAAAAAAAGCTAGAACTGACAATATCCATCAGTGGTTAATTTCCTTAAGTAACCAGAGTCAAGATCATTTGTGTCTTCTGTAGCATTCAGCATTCAGTTCAGTTGATAAATACAGCAGTATGTGCAGGGTTTTTTCTGCCTGTGTTTTAAGATGGGCCTCCCCACTCTACATAGAGATCTGTCAATCCTCTTTCATACATCAAAAAAGACACGAAGGAAACTTCACTTTCTAAACCACTTTAAACATTTATGCCATTTATGGCATAGTGTGCAGCAAAACTGTAATGGCCATTTGACAAAATACAAAATGGAAATCATCTAAATGAGAGACAAGCAACAAACCAGAAACTAATTAACTAGAGAAGGAAGCTCAGAGGAAGGAGGAGAAAAGTACACTTTATTCTTTTATAGCAGAGCAGTAATTTTACTGCAAGGTCAAAGGAAACTGAAGAGCTCAGCTGTACTAGGCGGTGGCCCAAACCAGGTGGGAGTGCACCAGATCATGAGCAAAGGCTTCTCAGACCAAAAATTAACTTTGAAAGTTAAAAATGGACAGAGCATTAAAAAAAAAAAGTGGAGGAAAATAACAGATTCCTGGTGTAGGTGATGAGCTCAGCCTAAGAAAGAAGCAATGGACATGTTCTCTGAAAACCTGCAAGATAAAAGGCTCTCTAAACTTCTGCTACCATGCAATGCATCTGGTAGCAGGGATTTGGCAGAGTTTACTGAAATGTAGCAGTGGATGGGACAATAGCACATAGGAAGCATGCGAAGAAAGACTTGTCTTCTCCCTGGGAAGTGCAAGATCAGCTTACAGAACCTATAAAGGGTATCAGTGGGAGCTGTAAGAAACCTGGTGCAGTCACAGAAAGCGCTACTCTTCTCAAAATAAAAAAAAGTTTGGATCAGATCATAAAAGACTGAATTCAGGCTATTTAAACAAACAAGAAAACCTGAATATAGTTATTAAGAGAAATTAGTTATTAAGAGACAGAGTTATTAAGAGATCAATATCACCTCCTTGGTATCATGAAAACAGCATACATGAAAGCAACTAGTTGCCTGAAGTCTTCATTGTGGTAAAATATATTACCAATCCAAACCTGACAAGAGAAAACTAGAAGCTGATAGAAGAACACCCTTCCCTTGGCTTTTATTTGCATTCTACTGTGGTAAAGACCTCAGGCTATTAAGAAGCAAGACCTAAGCCACCATCAGGAACATGCTTCCTTCAACTGTATCACTACTTAGTTTTGTTTCTTTGCATACTCAATTTCTTCATTTATCACCCTATTTCAGAGAAGCATAGAGACCTGTGTTCAAACACGTCCCTTCCATGATCTTACTATGAGTACTGTAGTCTTGGAAACACCAAGTGAAATATTTAGCAACCAAAGAAATATTAGAAGAGAGAGTAGAACACTGCTTTCCAAGACACCTATGTTTTATTTCACAGCAACACGGTGCATCCGTTTAGCACTGACAAAAGACAAAAAGCTGTGCTGTGATACATTTCAATAAAAGATGATGGTAATATTTGAATACTGTCTTTTAATTAAGGAACCTCTTAAAGTGCACTAATATATAACTGCAACATTGTTACTGTTCTGCTCTGGGGTATGCTACTAGGGAAGCAGTGGCAGTGGCAGTGAAATTAGGTAAAGTAATGTGTTCTTATTGCCATAAAGTTTGCAAATCTTATCTAAAAAGACATGGTTCAAAACCATGAAAACGCACTGGGAAGCACCAGTATGCAAGTCTGGAAGGCATACAGAGTATTGGCAATAACCTAGAAAATGCCTTCGTGTACAGCCTGAGTAATAGTCTTCCATAAAATTGACTGAAAGGACTCAGTGCACGTACGCGTTTTTCATTTTAAGTGCACTATAGCTGCAAAGAATAGAGATGCCGTACTGAAGATTCCTAATATAATATGCTAGAATTTTGCCAGAAGAAAGCAACAGAGAGTTCCTGCATCCTGGATTTCAAGAGAGGAGGAAAACTCCTTAGCTTAATGGAAGCTATAAATATCACAGAAACATGCAACTACTAAAAGTGCCATTTTTTTTTTTCCTCTAGTGAAGAGGCTTAAAATTTATGTTGCTACCCATGACATCACAGGTGTCCCAGGTATCAGCACCTGACAAAGATAATTAGTGGTGGTTAGTGTTGCTAGAAGCCCACATTAGTCCTTCCACAGAAGAAGCGTGCTGAACATGTAATGGCTGAACATGAAAATGATGGCTGGGATGCTGTTAGTCAGGCCATGAAGTTGAGATGCAGGAGACAAAATGAAAGAAGGCACATGAAAGAGATGAAACCAGGCAGATGAGGCATTTCTCCTGAGAAACGACTACACTGACAGATTGAATGCACGGTAGGGGACAGACACGTAGCTTTTACGCAAGTTTGCGTGATTCACCTATCTTTTGATACAACAAGGCAATAAGTACCAGTTTTTGGGGACTAAAAACTATCATGTTTTTCAGCATGTAAGTCTCCCAAACATGCAATCACACAACACCTGCAGAAACACGGAAAAACTGCTTCCTTACCAATTGTCTGTTTTATCAACGTGCTCACACTGAAGGTACATGCTTTGCTACATGTCAGAGAGGAAAAACATTCATGTACTTACTGAGATGTATATGTACCTGATTAAATACTCCACTTACTGCAACAGTGCATGGCAGAACAACAGCTATACAACACAACACAGCAAAGTGAGTTGAGTTACTGCAGGGGAAGGACAACTAAGCGCCTATTGTCAAGCATGACAAAGAGGGCCCACAACTCTTTTTTTCTGAGATGCATCCTGAAGAATTTTGGCACTTCATAGCAAGCAAGGCTCCTACAACATTTGAAAGGCAGATTTCAGGAACTAGGTCAATGCTCAGCAATGGGCTATTTCTATCTTAAACATAAGGATGGTTTTAATTTTCTAAGCAAATGCACACCACCAGATCAGCAGAAACATACAAAAATGGGTTGTTTCCCTTTTTTCCACTTCTGAAAGTACATTCTCCACCCTTTCCATGAGTCACAACCCACAGATCACTACATGCTGTATTAACATACCGTTTATTTTTTGGGCAATAAATTAACTGTATCTTAAAGTTTGAGTCAAGATTTTATAAGGACTGAGCCTTGGGATTCTTGTAAACAAACAGAATATCCAATTTTCTATCTCAAAGATTTGTAACAGTCATACCTTATTTTTAATTGAAATATATGTTCCAGAAACTAGGCAAATAACTTTGGCTATATATGGATGCAGCTTGCATTTTAAAGGACTGCATGGTATTAAAGCAACAGGAGAGGACTGCAGCTTCCCACGTTGGTAACTCAGAGTTTGTCTCCCACAACTCTACTTGACTAAGAGTGAGATAAGGTTACATTCATTTGTTAGAAATATTAATGGTCACACTTTAACATTGGCATTGCCACCCAGGGATCAGTCTGGCATTCAGGCTTTGTGCAATGACAATACCTAAGATTAGATGTTTGGGGGTTTTTTTAATCCTTTGGCTTCCCTAAAGCCAAATATTATCATCTGAGCATATTAATGTGAGTTTACTCTATTCACTCTGGGATTCTCTTGGTCTCACTGTAATTCCAGCATATCCTTTAGTAGTAAATGGGCTCTCTTCCATGTATTTGCAAATGACTGTCTTTTCTATACATTCATTTAGCTTGATCTGGATGCCACACGATACAATGATTTTTCTCACACTGCTAACCATATCTGTGGTTAATTCCACCTTCACGCAGGCAGACTTTCTCCCAACAGCACTGGACTCAGGAACACACTCTAAAGGTAGTTAGAGTATGTGAAACCCAAGAATATTTCTGTACTTTGTCTTCCTTACATATGCTTTGAAATGTTCTTTTATCCAACTGTTCATCTAAAAATTAACAAAACAATTAAGGCTGAAATCCTCAATTAAATTAAGGTGGAGGAGGACTGGATTTCACTCTGGACTTTTTAACAGAATCATTTCCTTCCTTCATCATTGTCCAGTCACACCTGAAGGCAGGCCTTAAGCCATACAGAAGTCAGGACATTCACGGATCTCCACTCAAAAATGACTTATTTTAGAATAATAGTTCAGGTCCTCCTCACCCTTCCTTTCCCCACCTCTTCAATTTAAATAAAGGCTCTTTCCAAAGACTTTGGATAGATTTGATCTTAAGGACAAGAAAATATGTGTGACAACAGCTTAGAACAGACTTTTTTTTTCTCTGCACTAAGCCAGGATGTTAGCTAATTGCTTAATTCTCACTGAGCTTGGCCAAACAGCACTAATTTAAAAAGCCATAAGAAAACCAGAAAATGTGAATGATGTAGTTAATTATACAAAAACAAAGCAGTGCCAATATTCATACTTACAGGCTGAGGCTGTTCTGCAATACAGCAGTTGAAACACAACCAAAACTCACTCATTGTTTACAGTCTGAAGTGGGAACACAGACGAAAAACAGGACAACCTCTGTAAATCTGCTTCCAGGTAGCAAGTTCTTTAAATAGATTTATTTATAATGGTTCCAATGTGAAAATCTTTCCTCTGTTGAGCTCTTCTCCAAAGACAAGTCAGTCCCAGGGCAAACAACTTGAAGGCAAAAAGTTATTTTAGAGTCTTCTTTCAGAAGGTTGGTCCCAGCACCACAGAAATGTTACGTATGCTTCTTTGGTCCCTAGCGTTATGTGAACCTGAAAACAGAAGTACATTACATCAAAAAGAAATAATATACAGAATCTCATGCTCCCACGCAGCCACCCACACCAGTGATTTCTTGGGAATATCTTGAACCACAGACTGAAGTGACACTGGCAAACAAGTCATGTGCTTATTTCTACAGTGACTACCAAAAATGGCATATGCCAGCAATCTGTATAAGGCTAACATTCCAGCTTTGGTTAGATGAAGTGATATCAAGAACTGGTGTCCAGTCTTTTGGCAGCCATTTCTGTTTGATCTGTTTCTAACTTTCAAATGTCATTTTAAAAAGTGAGAATTGCCCATACACCCCTTTAAACTTCTTAGGGAATTGTGCCTATTGACATTTCATATTTCTCAGCGGAAAAGTTACCCAGTCCATTCACAGTGCAAAGTTTAAATAGTATTTAACCCCAACCCTGTCGCACAGCTGTCAAGCAAAGGCATGCTTTTCTAGGTGCTGAGGAAACAAATACATTTCTGTATATGGAAAATTTGCAAAATGGCTGGACTTCGTCAACTCAAGGTATTTTCCTTCCACTCTCTCTACCCTCTTGCTTCACATACAGTTGGCTTCAAAACAGGACATTACTTGTAGAGTTTGAAACTGTTTCCTAACACCTCTAAAATTCCTCATGTGGAACAACTAAGACTCCAGATTCCAACCATTCCTTTACTAAAATAATGTTTATTGGTTAATCTCCAACCCGGTTTACTTCAGTAAGAGTGCAATAAAAATTCCTGTGAGCTTTCACTCTGGTCATTTATCTTGCCATCTATAATAAACTTTACTTGCAGAGAAAGTGAGATGAGTATTCAGAAGTTTTTACATGCATACTGCTTAATAATTCTATATACGACTGCATCTTCATTCACAGAAATGTGTGCATAACTACACATCATTATTTGTATGCAATTCCTCACAGTACGAAGTGGTTTGGAGACTCCATGGCATACATGGACTACACACATACATACATGTACATACACGCACATTCTGTGGCAAAGCAGCCCCACTTAGCTACTGCTTTCATCAGTTCTCTACATGCCAAGCACATAAGCAATGAGATTGCTCATTTACTACATACATGCCAAGGTACTGTACTCTGCAGCCGCCACTAGCCAGGTACTTTCCAGGACTGTTGGCTACAACGCACACATACAGAAATACAGTAGCACCTTTCCCATACCAAGCCCAAAGCCTCTGGGAAGCTTTCCCACTTCTTACCTTTTAAGAGACTAACAGAGACTCTTCAAGAAATAAATGCATGCTGCAGTAACACCATCTAAATAGCAAGACCCCAGCAAAAGTACTTGTCTCTCCTAGCTTTGAAAAAGCTACTGGTAGCATTTAAATGAAGTTTATATGCCTGTTTGTGGCATTTCTTGCCGAAAGATCAAAAGAGGAAGGGGGGGAAAGGGGGAAATGCTTTGCTAGCTTTTCCTATCAACAACACCATATAGAGCAAAGCAATTTTATTAAGCAGAACACCTTGAGGGTAAGAAAAAATGTAAACAAAAACCAAAAACCAAGAAATCCTTCTATAGAACCTTTCTTTTCTCAGGCATTTCAAAAAAGGTCTTAGTACAGTGCTAGTATTACATATTTTCACTGCTTAAGAAGATTTTTTTCCTACCTCAAAGATGATCATCTAAATCCCATGTATGTGTCAAGAAGCTGCAAGAAAACATGGGAATTATCAACCAACAGTGTGAAATCCAAGAATAAAAATAAGCTTTAAAAGTCTCTAAGGAAGTTTTCACTTCATAATTCGGTAGCTTCACATAATTTTCTCAATTCTTCTCGTTACTGAAATTTCGATCAACTTTAAATAGTAAGAGTGGGACTAACATAGAAAAGCTTGATAAGAAAATACTGTTCTCTGCAGTCTCAGAATTTGCATGCTACACAATTCTTTTCTAAACTTGATTTGATATGTAACAAAACTGGAACTCAAACATGGTTAACTCCTGTTAAGCATGTAACAATTGACAATTTTAGTCCAGTAACTGTACAGCTTATCTCTCCTTAAAACTTGGTGTTTCTACTTTTGAGAAGATAGGCTCCAAGTTGTTCTGAAATGCAGCAATGCTCTCCCAATGCTAGCTGCTCAGATTATGAGAAATTGAGAAAGAAAGTAGTCGAAGTTAGAAGCATTTAAGTCTAATATATTGTAAGCTGCCAGAGCTATAACAGATATATTGCAGCGGGCTTCTCCTGCTGTGCAGGTGACCCAATATTCTGATTTGCAGCTCCTGAAATTCTGACACTCATGTTATTGCTTCCTCACAATCTCTTTTTGATGAAGATCAGATTTAACATATCAAATTCCTGTTCACACAGAAGGTTAGCTTCTATCCTGCTGTTACACCCATGTACAGAAGACGTACGTGGAAAGGGCAGGGAAATTCCTCTGTTGATCCGTCTCCTCATTTGCTCACTACAGCTGGCACGCTCCTCCAGCTCACTGCAGCGTCAAGCGCCATGTTGAGCCAAAGCCCTGGGAACAAACCTGACGGGCTTGTGCGTGCTCCTGAGAGCCTGGAAGGCTCTTCCTGGCAACAAAATACTCAAGGGTGCAGAAAACTTTCTCCACCCAGCCACCCTCAGCATGCAGGACTTGTGCCCTCCAGGACAGAGTTCTCTTTGAAACTGGCTCCCCCCTTAAATCCAAAGCTGCTGAATGACAAAGCTGAGCTAGAGATCATGAATAATAGTCTCAGATAACATGTTCACTCTTAAAAATGTATTTTATCTTCCATAGGCTGTATAGGGTCACATTTGCCTTTAATTTCATGGTTCTGCAACCAGTACCACACAGTTTTTAAATCTGTTGTCTTTTAATTAAAAAAAAGAAACAAAACAAAACAAAAAACCACCAGTGGTGGGAGGACATATCTGTAAGTCTGGACAAAACTGACAGTAACTGCACCTCTTAAAAGACAAACAAAAACTTAGTAGTATTCGTTAAAGCACTGGAATTTTATACACCCTCACTCTGCTAAACAAATTAATTTTACAGTGGCCAAGTTAATGTAAAAGACCAGGTATAAATCTGCTGCATTGTCGTGGTTTAACCCCAGCCAGCAACTAAGCACCCCACAGCCACTCGCTCACTCCCCCCGCAGTGGGGTGGCGGGGAGCATTGGAAGGG